AATAATAATAATAATATAATAATAATAATAATAATAACTAATAATAATAAAATAATAATAAATCATTTTATAACACTTAGTTATAAAATCAAATATAGTTTGGTTTAGATCAAATTTGGCTATTCTCATAAATTTTATAAAAATCATATTAATGTAAAATCAAAATATTATATTAATGTAAAATCAAAATATCAAATTTTGTTAAAATTTGGAGAGCAAATTTTTGACCAAGTTAGATTGAATTAATGTAGAAATCAGAATGATTTACTTTTTATTTGTTGAATTTTAAAAAATTTAATTAATTTATTGCCAAATAATATTGTAATTTGACCAGATTGAATTTTAGTTTTTGACTAATAATATTAATCCAATAGTTTATTTAATTTACACATAAACATAAATCAATATAAACTTAATTATTTTGATTAGAAATGTCATATAATTTTCAAGACAACAAATTTTACAGATATCTATATATAAGCTAATTAGAAATACAATTTTATTTTTATTATAGTAAATAGACATCTATTAATCATCTGAATAACATTTGAATAATTAGCAAAGTTTTTATTATATAGATCTACTGTCTATGAGCATATGAGGAAACCTGATATCTATACCAACTGTAAATATCCAAATGAATAAAAAACAGATCTTAATACTACAATAAAATAAACTAATCATTATACAATTATCAAGATGACATTTGAATAACCAACAAGCAAAATTTTTTTATATAGATCTTTGAACAAAATATAGATCTATATATTCAAACCAGAAAGCTAGATATGGATTCCAACATATTACATTAAACATACCTCTATATAATCATCTGAATGCTATCTGGATAATCTTCAGTAAATTTTTTATTATATAAATCTACTATTCATAAGCAAAATGTTGAATCTAAATATCAGTAAGATATATAGATATCTAGATTAATGCAAAAAGACCAACATATTAAAGTAAACTGATATCTATATAAGAAGAAATGAATATTTATAAAAATTGCCAATTCTAGATAAAATTATAATAAACAGTCTTTTATATAATTATCCAGATGTCTATCTAGAAAATTTTTATTATACAGATTCACAATTTGAAAGCAAATAAGAATCTGAATATTGGTAAAATTATTCTATCTAATCATCTAGATATCTATCTAGAAAATTTTTTATTTTGCAGATTCACAATTGAGAGCAAATATGAATCTGAATATCATTAAAATTGCTGAAGTTCAAATAAGTAATCAAACAAATTAACACTAAATTACAATAAACAGTTCTTTATTTATTATCCAGATGACATCCAGATGTCTACTCAAAAAATGTTTTATTATATAGATCTACTATTCATGAGCAAATTGATAATATGAATATTGGTACTAATTGGAATATTAAGATATTATTCATAGAAATTACAACACTACATTACAGTCAGAATGATCATTTAAAAAATTTTTTATTATATAGAATTACTAATTGGAGCAAATATGACATTCAAATATCTATATTATCTGCAATATTTAGATATATAAAAATTAGATTCAAGCATTACATTACAGTAAACAGATTATTTTTTAATTATCTAGATATTATCTGAATGACCATCCAACAAATGTTTTATTATGTGTATTTACTATTTATAAGCAAATTGATAACCTGAATATTAGTACCTTTTGGAATATTTAAATATTATCTATATAGATCCTAATACTATATTACAGTTAGGAAGATCATCTAGAAAATTTTTTATTTCATAGATCTACCAACTGTAAGCAAATGTAACATCTAAATATTCATACCATCTGTGATATTTAGATATATAAAAATCAGATTTTAGTAGTATATTACAATAAACAGACCATTGTCTAATTATTTAGATATCATCCAGATGATCATCTAGCAAATTTTTTATTATAGATCCACTATCTATAAGCAAAATATTAAATCTGAATATCAGTTATTATGCTAATATTCAGATTCTAACATATAAGTATCTTATTTCAATATTGAATTAAAGTAAACAAACTATTATCAAATTTTATAGATAATAATCTGCAAATTTTTATTAGAAGGATTCACTATTCGTGAATATATTTAAATTTGAATATTGGTAATAATATCTGATATCTATATGTATATAAATAATTTCTGAACATCTGATAAAAATTAGTTAAATAATTTTTTAGCTGATCTGGTTAAATAATTAGAAACCAGAGTAAAATTGCTATCCAAAAAGTTTCAAACATCATATAACTAATATATTTAGTACTAAAAATTTATGTAGCTTAAAAGAATATAAACAAAAATTCAAACTAATAAAATAATATCAATAAACAATAAATTAATAATTTTATTTATTTTAAATAACTTAATTTGGAATATTTTATTAAAACTCTTTTTTTTCTTGTTTTAGTAGAAATTTAGATATGACAATCAATATATATTTTTAGAATAGTAATGTTTATTGAATTTTATGCTTTTAATCCTTATTTTTCACTTTGAGATATTGAAAAAAAATTACTACAATTATATAAATATTTAATGATCTACTCATAATAATTTGAAGTATTACATATTTTTGAAACTTTTTGAATAAAGATTTTACCTAATCAATATTATTATATACTGTATATTTCTGAAATTAATTTTTTAACTGAATCAGCTAAAAAATTATTCAGCTAATTTTTGCTAGGTGTACTGAAATTTATTATTTTAGCTGTAACTAAATAGATCCAAAAACTACATTACAGTAAACAGACCTCTATCTAATTATCTAGATAACCATCTAGAAAATTTTTATTATGCAGATCCAACCTTTGTGAATAATCTGTGAAATTCAAATATCAGACTTCAATTGATATTCAAATTTGAAAGAAAACATATTATACATTATAGTAAACAACTCTCTATCTATCATTCAGATGATCATTCAACCAATTTTTTATTATATAGATCTACTATTCAATATTCAGATATTTTTGTAAAAATTCTAACAGTAAACAGATCTCTATCTAATTATCAGAATAATCATCCTGAGAATTTTTTTATTATATGGATTCACATCTATGAGCAAATATTGCATCCAATATCCATACTATCATGATATTCAGATAAATAAACCTTTTAATAATTATTCAGAAGAAATCAAGTTGACCATTTAGCAAATTTTTAATATGCAGATCCATCATTTATGAGCAGCTGTCTAATTCAAATATCAATACATTCTGCAGATGTTTAACCAACACCTCTATCTAATTATCTGGATGTCATCCAGATGACCATCTAACAATTTTTATTATGTGGATCCATTATTAGTGAGCAATTATATAATTCTGATATCAGGTTTTATTAATAATACCAGATATGTATGAATACAATCCTATTTCAAAATTGCATTACAATAAACAAAACATTACAGTAAACAGAAACTATCTAATCTGAATATATCATATGACTATCCAGCAAATTTTTATTATATGGATCCACCATTCATAAGCTGCGCAGATCTGAATATCGATACATATGCTGATATCCATATAACGAAAAAGTTTTTAATAAGATGCATGACTGCATGAATAAAGTTATCGAATTCAAAAGATGCAAAAGCATTAGGTATTATGAACAAATTTTTTGTTTTTATTCTTTTTTTTTTTTAACAATATAAACAATATACTGAAGTTTGCTTTTAAATACAACTAAATACAAATGCTAAATAATACAATAATATTATATTAAAACTTATACAGTATATAAACAAAAATATTCCATTTTAATATCAAAAGAACTACCCTAAGGATTAAAAGATTAAAAAAGTATTGAAATATTCACTATAGTTAAGAATGAAAATTTTTAATAGAGTGATGCTCAGATTTTTTTTTTTCTTCCATAGTCTAGGTAGAATATACTAGCTAAAAATTTCTTTCCATCCAAATGTTCTTATTCCGGATATACTGGGATTGTTTTATTCAATTGTTCATAACTTACATTATTATGATAACTCGTCATCTTGCTCCAACTCTTCGTCATTACTGTTCACCACTTTATAACTAAATGGTCCATAACGTGCATTATCATGAGATTTATAACTCCTGTCATCTTGCTCAAACTCCTCGTCGTTACTGTTCACCGCATTATAACCAAATTGTCCGTAATGTACATTATTATGTTTATATCTTTCATCAAGGACATCATCATCTTCTAACTCTCCACCATTTCTTTCTCCATCATTGATATGCATTGTGGTTACCGGAAAATCACTTATACTCTCTATGTTTTCCATATTATCAAAGTTAGTCAAAGTAATTCGCGGTTTTTCAACAGACATAGCGTTAACTCTATTACGCCTGCCCAGTGGTGGTAACGGATAATTAACTCTTTGAGAATGAGTTCTTGGGATGCCGTAATTTCCAAATCTCATCCACACATGACCTGGTGGTTCTATCCTTGTCTCAGGAACAATAGTGGGTGATGATGGTATATCCTCAATGTATTCGCCGCTATACTTCGATGATGAGTCTTCGTGGTCGTAATATGATGTGCTGACGGTAGTGGATTGATTAGGTGTTTCTTTGTGTCTTAAAAGTCTGTATATTCTACCAAGAATTATACAGCTGAAAAGTAACGAGGAAGTCAATAAACTCATGAAAGGTATTATATCATAGTTTACAGAATATATCTGATAGAGTATCTATTAAAAAAATGTCAAATAAAAAGGTTAAGTCATATCATACTGAAGATTAATCAAATAATACTATAATAATCATAATAATGATTATTTTTCACCTGAACGATTAACTGAGGTCCATCTTCAATAAATAAATTAATACAGCCAGCACGAAGTATCCAATTTTTACTTGACTTAGATAATGGTGCATAAAAAAATGGGCTATTGGCTAATTTTGAATTTATTAGTGACAATATGTCAATATCTATCCCGGAGCAAAGTACGGATAAAGCTGCTACGTTGTGATATTTTCTAAACCATTCATAGAATGAAGTATCCTGTTGTGAAAGTTCATGGATTAATAGGAAAAATGATGCAATTATGTTGAACCCCAATGGTACTATTATAAAAAGCAAACTTTTTTTTTTTTTAGATGAGAAGCACAGTAAAAAAAAAAAAAATGGTTGGTTATAAATTTGAGATGTTAAAAACCAAATATAGAGATTAAATCTAAATGTTTATAATACCTAGGAAGGTATAAAAAGGATAAATCCTTCGAATATACAAGCACAAACATCAAATCGATAGTAAAATCTAAAATTATAAGTAAAATCCTGAATGGTATAAAGTTGTTTCCCTAAATAATCAAATGTAGATAATTTCAATAAATGTATAATCCAAAGATTAACGTTCAAATATTGAACTTACATTTCTTGGTTCTTGATATGAAAATAGTGCAAGAACGGCCAAAAGAAAAGGCACGGCACCAATGAAAATTAAAGAATATCCATAACTATCCCAAACGTTCTCTAAAAAATTTTTGACAATGTTTGGAAAATTCATTTATTACACATCTAAAGTTATATTGCTATATATGTACTTAAACCTTCATAACATCAAAAAAACAAACTTACTTTTAGGCTTAAACCCATATTGACTATCCAACTTACTACTTATTGATAATTTAGATATCATTGTAACATCTCTGTTTGTTATCAAATCGTTTATTGTTTCGATAACTTTAGATACGCTAAGATTTTTCATATTATCATTTCCTGGTAGTATTTGAAATTTTAATAAAATCTGTGAATAATCATCAACATTTTTATCCCATTGAAAATGACTATCAGCTTTTATGCTTGAAGAATCTATTGGAACTGAATGTGAGAGTTCAAGACTTAAATTACGGAGATAATCTGATTTGTTGGATATCGGAAGACTATCGAAGCTACGTGACTCATCTCTGTTTAGACGGGTTAATACGTATTCTGCAACTAAATTTTATCGTTATTAAGTTTGTAAAGAATATTATAAATAATATTATAAAGAACTAAATTTATTAATCAGTTCAATAATTAATTTTATTTCAAATTTCAAAAATAGATAAAAAACTTACTTCCAAGGTTTTCAGCTGACTTATTTTCTATAAATGCCCAATATACTTAATTAACAACCTTTCACCAAATACATTCATAAACATGAAATATCATCTTTCTCACCTGTTGTAAAACTCCAGTTAGCACCTGGCAAAGGTTCATCAGATAGAAAATCTTTAACAAAATTATTATCCATAACAATATAGTATCGACTTCCTGGAGAAGCAAATGTACTTTTCAAAACTGTTATCGAAACCGTCTTATTATCTGATAAAATTTTAACTTTGTCACTATTATTATGTGCATTATAATATAATCTTAGCAGCATATCTGTGCCACTGTCTTGGTATATGGAAATATTTCCTACTGATAATGCAATTTGATTGTAAAATGTCATACTGATCACCTGGTTGCTTGGAAAAGGGTTAGTTATATTTGGGAACGTTATGTTGATATTTAAATTGTTAGAAATATGATCTATAAAATTTTCCTAAAATTAAAATTCATCAAATTCTTTTTGAACAAAAAAAAAAGAAAAAAAGAGAGCTAGATACCAAGAGTAACAAATTTGTAGGCGACAGTTGTTGTTAAATTCCAAATACTTTCATTCGATACTGTAGAGTTTACATCCGAAATCATCCAAACAGTATTGTTAAGAAGCACACCATTCGGTATCACAAGATTCCCAGGTATTGTAGGTGAATCCCAAGCTTTAAAGAAATTTCCTTGGAGATCATAAACATAACCAATGAAAGTGTTGTTAGTTTTCAAACGAATAACTAAAAGGTATCCACCACTCCACAATTGGTACATCTTATCTAAGTTAAAAGTAGTATCAGCAATGTTCAATGTCGAAGAATTCTTTATGCCTCCACTCGAAAAGAATGCTACTTTAACGTATCGTGCAGAAATATTTGAAGTATTACTCGATTTAATACTAAAAACACAAGCTAATCCAGGATCATAATATGTATTGTCACATGTTTCAATATTCATCGAAATTGCTTGTGACATGTATTGATATATTATTGAGGGTTGTGTCATATAATATGTCGGACGAATGAATACTACTTTAGCTACCCATTGAGCATCGATAAAGCCAGGTGTAAGATTATCCGATGGTCCTGTCATTACAAAACAATATCCACCATCGATCATCGCAATTATTTGGTATTGATGAGATGGATTTATAGGAATTTGGCCCAAATTATTTGAAAATGTTACGTTACGTTGGTCTCTGAAATATATATGTTTCTTGTTACATAATATTTCAAATAAATTTAGTCACGTTATTAAAACTTACGTAATAGAATATTTTTTCCATCTTATGAATTGTTTTTGGGACACACGGTTAACCCACATAAATCCATATCTCTGGGAAGAATCGGCCACTAATGTACCCAATGATGATGTATCACTTTCGGTATAATTGATCAATCCAAGACTTATATTTCTTCATCAGATCGTGTATAATAATTATAGAGGTAGATTAGAATTGATACTGAATCTAAATTAATGCGTACAAAAAAAAAAATAAGAAAGAAAGGTTGGCTTCTTACTGAAAAACATTTCCATTCCAATCCATAAACAATCCAATTTCCTCATGCGTTTCTATACTCCCAGTATGAGTTTGTAAAAACGCGATCATGATATGATTATATGACAAGGGAAAAATACGAATCAGATCACGTGGAGGATTAGTTGAAATTGGGCAAAAATTAAAAGTAGGAATCGCGGTTATTTCGGGGTCAGTTATACTATTGTTGATACCCATAGTGGGAGAATTCAAGTATATTAGTCTTAGATGCAAGTAAGGTTCAGAACAATTGTTTACACCACTACGAATTAGTCGTAGGATTATCGGTCCATTTGGATAACTTGCTGCATTGAATACATGAAGTCCACTTGGCTCTCTTAGTGATGAAGTATTATAATTACTTCCATTTGACTGAGAGTCAAATGGTAATAAATAATTCGTTAGGGAAGGTGTTATATTTGGTATTTCATTGGCAGGATATTGTGGATAGTCTAGCGAATAACATGACAGTACACATAATATCGTGACTAGAACGACAATTTTCATTAAATTTATTATAGACATTGAACAAAATTATCATTATAAAAAAAAAGAATTTTATCCGTCTTTTAAATTCAGTTTCGGAGATCTTTTAAATTTGTCCTAGATTTTTACCGATTGAATGTTCGTACGACAAGCAATCCAAACAAACCACATGCGTACGAAAACGCTTCGTTTATTCTTTAGCATTGTTTTTATAACAATAAAGTTCAAATGAATTTGTTGTTTAGGAAATGATGAACTGTCAGACAAATTTAGCCTCAACCAATTGAATCACCTCATCGTTTTTTATGGTCGAGAATTCTCTGTAAGGACAAAATTTTCCAAAAATGGAGACGTCCACACAGTCATGTGTATAACGTTAATGTTTAAATTTATTAATATTTAAAAGTCGCGATTGCCTATCATGCATTCCAAATTTTCTTGGCATCAACAATTATTATTTAGATTGTTCGATTTTTGTTCTTCGAACCTACTATACCTTAGTTAAATAGACCGTCAATTTCTAAAAAATCAGCTACAGTGCAGGACATCTAAAATTTTGCAGATCATTAATTATAGAAATGATTAAAATAATTTTGATTGGTTAAATTTTTATTATCAAGATTAAATTTTTTATAATAGCGCTGAAATTTTTTGTGATAATAGTATTTTAAGATAAAATAACTTCATAATAAATAAATATTTTTTAAAAAAATTTCTATAGATATATTCTTTTAAGCATAAAGAATAAGTTTATAGAAAGTTTTTTTAAAATATTTATTGTATTATTCTTAGTAAGATTTTTTTATGTGATTAGATGTCGCGAACTGTAACTTTACTCAATTTTATTAGTCAACACCAAATTAACTACAATCATTATTTATTAAATTTTTTTTTTTTCATTACATGGCTCCTAATTTTTCACCCATAACTACTTTTTTTACTGATATTTTAACAGCTGATATTTTCATGGTGGACTTTGGATTTTTTTTGTCGATTTCTTAAATTGTATTATAAGAAATTTTAGAAATTTTATTTGTAAACCATTTATAAAAATAATATAAACAAACTCAAAGGAAAGAAATTTTATTCACCAAGAAGAAAAGCTTTGACAAATCCTGTGAAAGTAACAGTTAGAAAGCCATGGGTGTTAGGATCGTCGGCATCATAAACATCACGAATCAGCCTCGATATCATGCATCATTGCGACTGCACCGCAATACTGCATAATATCGAGGATGTTTCATAATATCTATGATAGTTTTAGAGCAGGTTTTCAATATCCTCTAAAAGAAACTATATTAAAAATTACAAATCTAAAATTAATGTTTAAAAATTTTATTAGGAATTAATAAATAATTCTTTTGAATAAAATTTTATACGTATCTTTTTAGTTTATAAATATTTTGGATTAATTATAGTATAGTTTACCCTACCTTAGTGTTTTTGTGTTTCTGGTAATTCTGCTGGGTTAAATATAGTATAGGCATCTTGACGTAACAAAGTTTTCAGAAACACATAATCACTAGGTAAGTTATACTATAATTGATCCAATAATGTAATTTTTTCTTATAAATTAAATAAATTTTTTTTAAAAACTACTGTATTAGTATGCATATAGTGTTTATACAAATTTTGTATAACATATAAATTGTAAGCCAAAAATTAATGTTAAAGTAAGATTAGCTTTTGGGATTTGTTTGTAAACTTTGAACCAAACTTAGATCGAATTCAAACTTGATTAAAAGTTTAAAACATCAAAGTTTGAGTTTAGTTTGAAAATCAAACCAGAATCAAGCTTAACAAAAGTTTTAATCTACTGTTTTTTGGTGCATTTTTTGATATATAACGCCCGAGTGATGGATGCTACTGATTATTTTTACTAAAATTCTTTTAATAATTTATTTTAATTTTATTTATATAAATTAAAACTTAGGTCATTCAAAGTTGATTAGTTGGTCCACGTGCTCAGAAGTGAGAATAAAGGGAAATTTTAAACAAACATATATACGCCTAGCAAAAATATCGTTCCTGATGGATCGTTGGTACTGTTTTTGATAGGGTAAGAAACAAATATTGATTTACATACCGTTCCTGATAGGGTTCTAAAAAAATACTATACTACCATAGTGAAGTATATGAAAAATGTTAGGACTAGAGTTCATTTTTAAACCCTATCAGGAACAGTACTCAAATAATATTTTTTTTAACTCCTTCAAAGTATCAGTATTTTGCATGCCTAAGAATGTTTGATTAAATTTCATTGGTTAAACGACCCTAGCGTCACTCACAAAAATGGTAGCCGGACAGATCTGCGTGATTGGGGATGGATTCGGTCACGAACGGTCACAATTATTCATAACCAATTTGCTAAATA